CCCGTGCACAGCTGGAGGGAAGTGCATCTAATACATCTAATCTAAAGAAATGAGAAACAGGATACAGTTGCCAAGTCAGATATTTAGAACACTGAAGCACTGATATTTTTTGAGTAGTATTTGTACGCAAGACAAGACAAGTAGAAAGGCAGTTCAAACAATGCTAAAAATATCCGCAGCAAACTTCAAAGTTGTATCTTGAAGGCAGAAAAAGCACTGCAAAAGAAAATCCAAAAGAGTCAGTTTTAAGATGCAAACCTACCAACTCCAGGTCCATCTTTTCGAGTTGCATGTAATAATTAAAGACATCATTAGTTATTTCTGATTACTTTGTCCTTAGCTTCTAGATTTGTGATTTTCCAACATAACATCGTATTAGTAATTACATCATCATATTTTCCTGCAGCTTTTTCTTAATAGTACTATTAATAAAAAGTACAGGAAAATACTATAGCCAAAGTAGTGACAGACTAAAAGTATTGTGCAGCTTAAGTTAGAATTGCCAGATCGATGCAAATCAGATCAGCAGCTGTTCCACTGGCACACACAGAGAGTAAAGACAGAACTATACAAGTGTGTAAATGTAACACACACACACACATTTCTATACTCTCCACTCTTTTCAGGGACATCAAATTGACTTAAGATTAATTTCCCAGAGACTGATCCTAACCTGAAACATAGTCACTACAGCCTAACATAGGACTGTGCCAAAAATCAAAGCATCACGATCGCTCGTATTGATCCCAGGCTCCTGAAAAAGTTCTGTTTAAATCAATGTTGTATTTTTTCTTCAGTTTCCAGACAATCTTAAAACGTTTTTGTGTTTGCTAAAGTAAGCATTGCGTCACATCAACTGCTGAAAATTCCCCCAACACAGATTCATAGACCACCCCCAGCGCAAAGTATCAGTTCAATTGGTTTGCGATTATTTATGCATCCCTAAACAGAAACAATAGTGAGTTAGATGCTTTCCTAAGCGTTCCTGTTTAGGCCAGTAGTTGATGAGTATGTTTTTTTCATGTTAATTGAAGGACAAACAAGGTTAATGTAAGGGCCTGGCCACACTACATCCCTATTTCGCCCTGCGCGAGCATAAAAACTGCAACTTTTGGACAAAATTTTTTTTACAATACATTAAAAGTTAATGAGGACGGCCACACTACCCGCACTAGGTGCACGTATGGAGCAGCAGTCCTGTGCGCGTAGATTTCAGAAAAAAATATTCTTTTCTTGACACACTACGTGAGCATAGGCATGTATCCCCATCAAATTACACAGAGACCATGCATCTATTCCTGTAGTTGTGCATTTATCATCAGCACAACATGCTCCTGGGGCAGTTCAGTATTATTTGAAAGAGCCCAGGGCAAGAAAGTCTGTCAATTCTGTCAATTCTGTCAATTTGAAATTTACTTTGGAACTCCTTGCGTTTGCTGTGATCAGCCCGAAGAGAAGGTAAATACAAGCTTGTTCAGCTGGTTAGTTTCACTGTAGACCTGTTACAAGTGGCTTAATGCACCCAGTGAAGTTTAATTGGCTTTCTCATTGAGAAAATCAGAGCCAGTGCCACGCATATATGTCCTGCTGGAGCTGCTGGCGTGGCCGTCCTTGCATTGACATGTGGCTGCGGTTTCGCGAGGTTACACGTGTAAATGCTGACGCGTGCTGTGTGGTCAGGACCTAAGGAGTGTGAGAATAGATTTGCTGTTTTCAAAAATTACCTTAAAGAATGTTTATGGATGTCACAGCAGACTTTTACAACCACAGTTGTTGGCAGACCATGTACTGATCACTTTGTTTGACATAAGCCTCACACCTGCTGTCAACCATCGCTGTACAAAATCTGTCTGTTACTCATTTTGTGGTCCTCATTCATACAGCAACAAGAACCTGTGTCCTTATGTTTCACAAGTTTTTACTTAAATCTGCACAATAGGACTAAAAATTAAACCTCTCGGTCTGTGTATGCGCCTGCTCCCTCTCTCCCCCTCCCTCCCTCTGACCCAGCCGCAGCTCCTCGTCTTTTCTTTTCTTTCTCTCCTCTTGTGCTTCTGATCATTATAATCCAAGTTACAGATAGGAAATGCCCCAGCCCTATCCTAACGTTAACCTCAACCCTAATCTTAACCTATTTTAACCCATATCTGAACTTTAAACATGTTGTTAATCTAATAATAATAACAACAATTTACACCACATGGACCTGACATTGTCCCCATAAATAAATCAGCTCTCTATGAATTGTGAGTGTACAGATTTTAGTCCTCATAATGTGATAAATCCCAGCACACACACAGCGCTCTGACTGGTGCTGACTGGATCCTTTATGAGTCATGAGTCTGTGATGCCCCCTACAGAGCAGCGCTATAAAACAACAAGGCCATAAATACATGAAAACTGTGGAATAAGCACTGCTAATTTAACCAAGGCCAACAAAGCATCTAACAGCAGCTCTTACTCAGCTGCTTTAAACACAGCAGCTCTATACTCAGTGTTTATGTATTAGGTTACACAGTGAACTCTTCGTATATTACTTGGTTTCAAATGACCTCACTACATTCTATAGGCCAAAAATATTTAATAAAGATGAGTGGAGCTAAAATTAATATTGTTTATAAGTATATTGTTAGAGTTGTAATACAGTACAGTGAATTCTTGGGTCCAGTCACTAATACAAAATGATCTGATTCAACATTTATGAATATTATATGACAAAGTACAATGTTATCAATAGGAAAAACTGTCTCTTGCCCCCATCAAAAAGTTAAATCAGCTACAACAGCTCCCCGCTCTCATCCAGTGCCTTGCTGCTGTAAAAACACACCCCAGTCTAGTTCCAGGCACACGTACAAAACCAGTGCGGGGCGTTCATATGCACCTTTTAAAAATAACAATGTTCAGAATTTAAAACAATAACACGATAAAAACAATAGGGGGTGTCAGTGAACCTCAAAACAATAATATTTACATAAATTCACATCATGTATAACTGTAAATCAATTAATCACGTCTCTCACATATACTAGCCTGATTCATCAGCCAGTTTTACATTGTTTCACTTCGTACAAACCGTCTGACCTCGCAGCCTTAGATTTCGTTCACACGACAGTAGGCGGGTACTTTCTATCTTTTAACCAATCGCTGCTATTTGGTCGTAACATATGTAATGCACCGCTAATGGGGCTAAGTATACCACTTAACATACATAAGCTTTTCCCAAATCCCGTAGGAAGAAGGGCAATAACATCTTTCCCCTTGATAAAATTCACCAAACATTCTCTTTGTTCCGGCTTTAAATCCTCAATCTCAGGAATCGTTGACAACACTGAATATATGACTCTTCACTGATTGGCTAGTGCCTAGACTTGCACTTCCGAGGGTTTTGCGAACCGTCTAGTGTATTTTGATTCCTGGCCTAGTCGCTGGAGAGAAATGAAATTGAGCAGAGGCACTAGGTGGTGCCAGCCTGGCTACACATATACTTTATAGATCAGGAAAATCCAAATTATGGCTTGGGTGCCAAATAGGGTCCACATACCACTTTTTGTTGATCCAACTGATCATAAGCACAACTCTTATCTTTTAAAGCTGCACTGTGTAATTTTTTGGTAGGGGGTCCGTAACCTGCTTGTTGTTCTGCCTGGAATGTTCCACAGTATGGCATTAAAAAGGTCTACCTTACATATATCCAAATACAGGTGGTTTTATAGTTTAAAAATATCTAGAGAAACAGGCATTGTGACTGTGAGCGGGGTTGACTCTCCAAAGATCTGACCTGTAACTTGATCTGGTTTGGTCTCCATGAAGATAGGAAGGTTTAATGCCATACTGTGAAACATTCCAGACAAAGCAATTACATCTCATTAAGTAAAACATTTGACAGATCCACCACCAGAAAGTTACACAATGCACCTTTTAAAAAGTCTAAGATATACAGTATGTCTACAGTTAATAGGCATTTTTTGTACGTTTTTATTAAGTATGATGGACATTAATAGCGTACACAACAATAGCATAAAAGGGTAGACTACAACATGCCAATATGTACAATATTTAAAATTATGTTTTACAATTGCATTATTTGTTTTTCTATTATGTCTAGACCAAAACATTGTACTTTAAGGGCCATAAAGATGTTCCAATGTCTAAACTACCACAAATATATGCCTATAACGCTGAAATATAATACTGATGCTCATGTTGTTTGCCAAATGCTGCCAGCTGCCCCACCCACCACAGTGTAAACCCATGCTCTCAGCTGATTGGCTACGTGCCCAGATTCTTTTTAAAAAAAAAGCTGATTGGCCAGTTGCAGAGCCAGTGAAACCAGCTGTTTCCTCAGATGCATCCAAATCCTCAAAACTCTCATAATCTTAACTCCTTAATTCCTTCTCCTTTAGCTTTACCCACAGACGAAAACCCCATAGACAACAATGTACTTCATTTGAGCGTAAACGAGGAAAAGAGGAAGCAGACACGTTGCGAATTGGGATGCGGCCCGTTTCTTCACTGTGATTGGCTGTTCATTTGAGGGTGTGTGTCGGAGTTGCCTCTTTCATCATATCTTTCTAAAATTAAACTCTCAAATTCTCAAATTAAGCCTGAAAATATTTCATATCTACATAAACAACGACAACAATCCTAGTTTAAAGTCGTTTACGTCGTGATTTAAGGACGAAAAGTGGCCCGGTTTCCATGACAACCCCTCCCTCCCTTTCATCTACCGACAGCCTCCACGTGACACAGAGGAGAGCTGTGTCAAGGATGCTCGCTACTTTAAAGCCGTGCGTTTTTTGGCCTATGGCGTCCACAGGTGATGCTCAGTCAGTCAATAACGCCACATGGTCGTGAGCTAGCCTTTTGTGCGGGAAAACAGCGGAAATTCGACAAAACTGCGTCATGTTTAGCTAAAACGCAGCGCGACATGCTTTGCTATCAAAAACAAATGCGCAATAAAATCATGCGTCGTGACTTTTACGCACAGAAATCCAGCTTACCTCATTTCGCAGTCTTCTTTTGGGTGATAATAATGTTCTTTTGGGTTGAATGCTCGTCCAGAAGAAGTCCAAAATGTCGCAAAAAAGCTGGTTAAATAGTCCTAAAACTAGCGTCTCGTTGTGCAAGATTTGGAAGGTAGAAAAAGGGCGAAAGGGTGGGGAAATGCTACACGAACGGCCACAGTTTGCGGGGTAAAGACAGCTGTACTCCGGGGTTTTGTCAAAGAGATTCGTTCGCAGCCATTTTCGATCCGAGCACCAGTGGGACCATCACGCCGACCGTCCGCGGGTGGAGAGGCCGGGCAGAGAGGCTGGCAGCGCGGCGTCAGGTTCCATCTTTTCCCCTGTTCCACCGCTGGGAGGCTGGTCTGGGCTGGATGGAGGAGAGGCGCTGCTGCTGCTGCTGCTGCTGTAACGTGCTCGACACTTTTACCTGCACAACAGCGCCCCCACAGCTTCAGAAAGAGAATGCACAGCTGTCATTTCTGCTATTATAAACTTTATGGGTCATATTTCAGTTATGATTCCAAACAAATATGAGAGGTTTCTGTGTACAGCTGCACTCAAAGAGGGGAAAGAGACTGAAACGAATAAATGTTTATTTTTACGCGAATGGAATCCAGAACTAGAGAGAATTATAAATGAACTCTGCAGAGGAGGAAAGACAGATAAATCAAACACTTTTTCATCGAAATTAAACAGAACACACAAGTCGAAGAAAGACACACACGAAACTAGACTAAACTAAACGACAAAATTAAAAAAAAAAAGTAAATTAAAAAATGGAAATACTGTATCACACATCTAAGCTCCATGACAATAAAAGTTTCTATTTTTTGATGCATGGATGAGTGACATGCCCAAGCCTAGATAAAAAAAAAAAACATAAATTAGGTTACTTGTCATTACTTAAAGGGGGATTTGGATTTTAAGTCCTGTAACACACTTGGACCATGTTTTCTTATACAAAATATTATTGCTGAAGTAACAATACTAGGGGTGTAACGATATCCAAGTCTCATGATACGATATTGTGACAATATGAACCTCACGGTACGATATATATTGCAATATCGTGGGAAAGCTCACAATTTGGTGGGGAGGCTCACAATTAGAGATGTAACAATATCCAAAATCTCTCTGTACGATATTTTCACGATATACATCTCATGGTATGATATTTATTGCGATATTTTGTGGAGGCTAACAAAACTGTTAATATGCTACTTTTTCCTCTTAAAATGCCTTGACAATACTTAATCCAAAGAACTAAGACTTAAAAGTGCTTAGAACTGTTATTTCTTCATGTAGCCTACACTGAAATGGAGCAAAGGATTATGGTATATGTAGTTCCCGCTGTATTTTTTTAATTTATTTTTTTAGCTATTGCTGCACCATAACTCTTCATTTAAGCAAAGAGACTTAATTCAATATATTGTGATGGTCCATGATATTATTGTGAGAACTTTGATACAATATCACAATATTTTGGTTATTGTTACATCCCTAAATAATACCCTCACTTTTGAGTACTCACTTTTTGGAATCATGTGCTTTTCTGATTTTATTGTGTCTGTGTAGAAAACCCAACATTTTCATATTGCTTGACTTTGACTAGCTGACAGCACATTTGCCGAAAACACAAATCAAACTTAATACTTTAACGGATTAATTACTGAGGTTCATTTGGTCTAATAATTTATGTGATTAGATTCTTTTTTCAGACCAAGTGTTTGTTTTCATACCTGACAGTTTGGACTGCTCACTATAGCAGTCTTCTTCAGAGTGGTCATGTGATGTTGCTCATCTGATTTATACAGGTGTTGATGCTGTCTTCCTATAGATGAAGGCAGGATGACAGCACCATCTGCAGTCCCACTTCCTCAGGACAGTATCCCAAGTGTGTGAGGGTAAAAAAGCCCCTTCGTCCCGTAAAAGAGAGAAACACATTATGGACCAGGATGGAGCAAACATCATTGGGATAGAGGAAAACAAACATCGTGGCTGGATTAAAGAGGCAATCGAAATATGGAAACATGCCCACGGGACTGTAAACCGGGACGAGGGGGCTTTTTTTACTCTTACACACCTGAGAGACTGTCCTGAGGAAGTCAAACTGCAGATGGCGCTGTCGTCCTGCCTCCTCAGGATGGAAGACAGCGCCAAAACCTGTTTTAATCAACTTAGCGGACACGTCACAGCAACATCACGTGACCACTCTGAGGAAGACCACTCGTGAGCTTCCCAAACTGTCAGGTATGAAAACAAATTGGTCTGAAAAATTTACCTAATAACATATACTTAAGAGTTGTTCACTACATATACTTGTTTATTTAGTAGTTTAGGAGGTATATTTGGACATTCTTTACTCTGTCAGAAGTCCAGGCCAGACATTGTCCTGGTCTACAGCCTACAGTCTATTCTATACAGTCTGCTCTGAAGACCTGCACTGCAGCTGTGGCTATAGATACACTCAGAGAAGACCTTAAAATAGCTCCAGTTTGAGACATAAAACAGTTTGGGTGAGAGAGGAGGAGGAGAGACAGCTGCTGCCCTCTGGAGGATGCATGTGGACTCACTCCCCTGGGTCTTTCTGACAGTGCAGACTGGGATCTTCTTCTTCTTCCTCTTTAACTTTATCTTATACTGTTGGTTGCAAATGATAACTCTTGTGGAAGCCTGCTGAGATGTTGGTGTATTATAAATAGTTATTATATGAGGAGATTCACACTCCTTATATAATAACACTTTTTTTAATATGTCATTGCACACATTTTATTCGTATACATAGCGTCCTGTCAAGCACAAACATGTAATATGATACACACACTTTGCTGGGGTCTGAAATGTAAACTTGAAAAACCCAGAAAAAGAATAAAGTTTGCATCAAACAGCAAAACAGCAGTGATCTATTTCTCATAACCCCACCCACCAAAAGCATGCACATGGAAAATAGGCTGTCTTAATTATTTATGAATTACATCAGATGGTTTGAGATTCTGGTAGAGACCGCATGGAAATACATCAATACATCGACTTTCTGAAATATGAAAATCCTTCCCTTTTGAAATGAATATCATTTTGACACTGAATCTGTATGTTTCATTTTGTCCAACTGTAAACTGATTTGGAAAATTTAACCAAATTTTGTTCCAACTATATATCCATCCATTCTTCCACTAATCTGGGGCCAGGTCACAGGGGCAGCAGTCTAAGCAGGGCCTCCCAGACTTCCTCACCCCAGACACTTCCTCCAGCTCCTCTGAGGGGACCCCAAGGCGTTCCCAGGCCAGCCGAGAGACATAGTCCCTCAGCGTGTCCTCAGTCTTCCTCGGGGCCTCCTCCCAGTGGAATATGCCCAGAACACCTCCCGAGGGAGGCGCCCGGGAGGCATCAGAACAGATGTCTGAGCCACCTCAACTGCTCCTCTTGATGTAGAGGAGCAGCAGCTCTACTCCGAGCTCCTCACCCTAACTCTAAGGAAGCATCCGCCACCCTGCAGAGGAAACTCATTTCGACCACTTGTATCCAAGATCTCGTCCTTTCAGTTATTACCCAAACTCATGACCATAGGTGAGGGAAGGAACGTATATTGTAAATCCAGAGCTTTGCCTTTCGACTCAATCCTCCGCTCAATCATGAACAAGACCCCCTTGAGGCAGGGACTCTCCACCCACCCACAAACTATATAACCTAGTGAAATGAATAGCTCTAAATATAGTTATGAATTCATATGTTGTCCCTCAGTTGTTCATTACAGGTGATTCACTTTATCATCACATTTTTACTTCCTGAATATTTACAATGCTACATATGCTGTACTGTATATACAAACCCACTTAATAACAGTTTTGCAGTCTTATATTTTACTCTATTTGCACAGTTCGTTTTGTTAACTTTTCGTATCTTTTTGTAAGTGCCTATGACAGGTTGGATTACTAATTTTACTGAAAAGCATTTATGATCATTATATTGAAGATTTCGCTAAAACATCCTACAAGAAAGAAAATACAAAATACATTTTCAGGAGCCTGTCATCACTACGAGCTTTCATGGTCCTGTTTATGAGTTTAATTTTCAACAAAAATTATGTGAGTGAGTAAAAACTGAGGAAAAACTGTTGACTAATGACTTGTTTAACCACACAAACCAGCTCACGTGTTGTACTTCCATCTAAATCAGTTCTTTATGGTCAGATTGAGTTAAAATAAAACTCAAATAAAACTAAGTATTAAGTATCAATAAGTATTTCATATATTCAGTTTATTTTATTTCTTGATTTCAGAATTTTATTTTTCTGATGGTCTTGTACTTTGAAATATCTCCATTGTGGAATAAATAAAAGTTCTCTCATCATGTCTTACTTCAGAAAAAACATAACTGATAAACTTCATTCATTCAGAAAAATCAGGCTGTTACTGTTACGCTATTTTTTGGTCACCAGAGGGCGCACTTGTCCCTTTTCCCTTTACAGTACTTGGCAAAAACTTCTGGGTCATGTTTCAGTTATGATTCCAAACAAATATGAGGGATTTCTGTGTACAGCTGCACTCTACAAAGAGGAGAAAGAGACTGAAGAAAGTAAACGTTTATTTTTACGACGGTGGAGTCCAAAACTAGAGAGAATTGTAAATGAACTCTGCCGAGGAAGAGTGACAGGGAGAAATAAAACACTTTTGCACCAAAATAAAACAGAACACACAAGTCGAAGAAAAACACACACAAAACTAAACAAGAAAAACAGGAAATACCACATCACACGTCTAAGCTCCATAACAAACAAAAAATCCAAAATGCTGCTTAAGCTGCAATATCAGAGCAATTCAGTGGATTCAGTGTATGAACTATAACACAACAGCACAGTTAGGCCACGCCTTCACATTTATTGCCATTCTATAAGAGATTTAGTCAAGTTGAAACAATAAATACAATAAGACCAAAACATAAACAACATTCACATTAAACTGCCTCTTTAAAAGCATTCAATCAGACCACATCATATTAGATAAATAGGTCTACATGAAAACACTTTTCATTTTCAGTGAGAGAAATACCAGACCCACTTTGCCAGCAAAGCGGAGGATCAGTGTTAGGGACATTTCAACATGACATTCAACCGATGAGGCACAACCATTCAAACATGTACTGATGTGTAACAGAATCTGCAGTGTGTTCTCTTACACTGATTTGTAAGAGAACACACAGCATTACATTGTAATTGTTATTGATACATACTGTATGTATTTGAATAATTATGACAAGATTCAGTTCATTTAGTATTACATAGTGTGACTGTTTCAAAATGACCAGTGGAGTTAAGGGGAATGCACAAATCAAACATATCTTGAAATTATCTGTGTCCAATAACCAGTGTTTTGGAGTAACTGAATACATGTACTGAGAATGTGTATTCTGAATACTAATTTTGAGTAACTGTATTCTGGTACAGTTACTTTTTCAGTTGGTGGTATTCAGAAGGTTTCTTTTATTATCAAAAAATCTTGTTAAGTCAGTTCAAATCAAATCAAAAATTCTGAGTTTATGTACTTGAGTTAAAGTAATTTGAACTCAAGCAGATTTTTTTTTTTTTTTTGCAGTGCTTTTTGTTGCTGTTGTTATTTTTTGTGTTTTTGTTTACACTTTGACAAAGCCAGAACAGAATAATCTCCATTTTCTTTACACATTATCTTCTCTCCTCCTCTCATTTCTCTCAGTATCTAGAAATAAGTCCAATGTCAACAGCCTGATAAGCAAATTAATCTTGTTAATTCAAATCAAGATTCTGAATTCAAATCAAGACTCTGAATTAAATTTGCATTTTTTGCAACACTTTGGAGTTTTAGTTTAAGGTTTGACATGGCCAGAACATAGAAAAAAAAATCTATTTATGCTATCTTCTTTGCCCTCAATATCAAATGACATAAAATTGATCATATTTAAGTAAATTCAAATCAAGATTCTGAATTAAAGTCATTTTTGTATTTTTGCAGTGCTCTTAGTCTTATTTGCTCCAGCAAGGTCACAACATAGAATCATTTCCATTTTCTTCATATTTTATCCTCTCCTTTTAGTCTCTCAGTAGCAGATCTGAAAATACTGACTGGGAGACTTGACAGGGCTGTGGTAGCTGCTTGTTTCTTGAGGCGCCGAGTTGTTAACACTAGTACTAGTCTTCTGCAGGTTTAAAGTGAACTTCTTCTCTGTTTTCGTGCTGTGGTTGGAGTTTCCTGTCCCGGTTTTCCCTTTGGACAGATTTGGCGCGTTGTTGGTCGCAGGGGGCTTCGTTTTGGTCGTTACCGTGGCAGCAGTTTTGGCAACTTCAGAAGACCCAGTCCTTTTTGCGAGGGGGCTCAGATAGATCTGCATAGTCACTAAGTGAAGAGGTGGAAGGAGAAGAGGAGACAGAGAGGAGAGAGAGAGGGACGGAGTGGAAGAGTGATAATGGGATTTCATAATAGGAGAGGTACGGGAAGAGGTGGGGAACATATTTCATGGTGAGATTTGGGGAAAATGAAAAACGGCCGTAAAATAACATATCACAATGGAATTCATAAAGATCAGTTAAAGGTCCGATATTACACAAAACTGACTGTTGTGAGCGCGAAGTCATGTTATAATGTTGTTTCCTCCTCAAAAACAGACCTGGAGTTGTGTTTTGTTTTTTTGTTTTTTTCATTCACATGTTTTTGAGTAATCTTGGTTTAAATTTTCAAAGCTCAAAATGCTCTTTTCCACCCTTTGATTGCATGCAATGGTAGTTTTCAAGTATCGTATCCTCACTCCCAATCTTCTAAATAAATAACAATAATAAATGGAAAATCCAAGTGTTCAGCCTAGTGGGTAGAGAGAGGAGAGAGTTCAGCATTAGAGATGTAACAATAACTGAAATATCGTGAGATTGTACCATCAAAAGTCTCACAATGATATTGTGGACTGTCATAATATATCGAATTACAAGTTCTTTTGCTTAAATTCATGGTTTTATAGAAGCAACAACTAATAAAAATAGAGAACTACATATCCCATGATTAATTTCTGTACAGACAACTGCGATTACGATGGGAATAACGCACAGCAAAATCTTATCAAGGTAATTTAAAAGCAAAAAATGTCCCATTTACAATTATATTAACCTCTTCAAAATATCGCAATAAATATCATACCATGAGATGCGTATCGTGATAATATCTTACCGAGAGATTTAGATATTGTTACATCCCTATTCAGCATCCTAACAGTCTGGTGGATGAAGCTTTTAGTGAGTCTGGTGATGGCTTTGCGGGTGAGGTGGGTGGTGTATATGTGGGTGAGGCAGGTGGTGTATATATGGGTGAGGCGGGTGGCGTATATGTGAGGAGGTAGGTGGTGTATATGCGGGTGAGGCGGGTGGTGTATATGCGGGTGAGGTAGGTGGTGTATATGGGTGAGGCTGGTGGCGTATATGCGGGTGAGGCGGGTGGAGTATATGTGGGTGAGGTGGGTGGGTGTATATGCGGGTGAGGCGGGTGGAGTATATGCGGGTGAGGCGGGTGGAGTATATGTGGGTGAGGTGGGTGGTGTATATGCGGGTGAGGCGGGTGGTGTATATGCGGGTGAGGCGGGTGGTGTATATATGCGGGTGAGGTGGGTGGTGTATATGCGGGTGAGGCGGGTGGGTGTATATGCGGGTGAGGCGGGTGGTGTATATGTGGGTGAGGCAGGTGGTGTATATGTAGGTGAGGCGGGTGTGTATATGTGAGTGAGGTAGGTGGTGTATATGCGGGTGAGGCGGGTGGTGTATATGCGGGTGAGGTGGTGGTGTATAGCGGGTGAGGCGGGTGGAGTATATGCGGGTGAGGTGGGTGGAGTATATGTGGGTGAGGTGGGTGGTGTATATGCGGGTGAGGTTGGTGGTGTATATGCGGGTGAGGCGGGTGTGGGTATATGCGGGTGAGGCGGGTGGAGTATATGCGGGTGAGGCGGGTGGTGTATATGCGGGTGAGGCGGGTGGTGTATATGCGGGTGGTGAGGCGGGTGGGTGGTGTATATGCGGGTGAGGTGGGTGGTGTATATGCGGGTGAGGCGGGTGGTGTATATGCGGGTGAGGCGGGTGGTGTATATGCGGGTGAGGCGGTGGAGTATATGTGGGTGAGGTGGGTAGTGTATATGCGGGTGAGGCAGGTGGAGTATATGTGGGTGAGGTGGGTGGTGTATATGCGGGTGAGGCAGGTGGAGTATATGCGGGTGAGGCGTGAAGTGAAGGTGGTGAGGGTAGTAGTGTATATGTGAGTGAGGTAGGTGGTGTATATGCGGGTGAGGCGGGTGGTGTATATGTGGGTGAGGCGGGTGGTGTATATGTGCGTGATGTAGGTGGTGTATATGTGGGTGATGTAGGTGGTGTATATGTGGGTGAGGTGGGTGGTGTATATGCAGGTGAGGTGGGTGGTGTATATGTGAGTGAGGCGGGTGTAGTATATGTGGGTGAGGCGGGTGGTGTATATGTGCGTGATGTAGGTGGTGTATATGCAGGTGAGGCAGGTGAAGCGGGTAGTGTATATGTGAGTGAGGTAGGTGGTGTATATGCAGCTGAAGCGAGCACTGTATATGCGGGTTAAGCGGGTGGTGTATAACCACATGACATCACAAGGTGGTGTTTTCAGTTTGAGAGACGCCTAAAAAAACCAGAGTTTGAGTGAATGAAACAAAACACAACTCCATGCATGTTTGTGATAAGTAAACAACATTAAAACAATCACAAAATAGTGTAATATGGACCTTTTTAAGAAAATGTTGACTTTAAATAATCGTATTAGGTCATATTTTCATTTTCATTTTTCATTAAAAATGTTCAGTTGATCTACAGAACAGGACAGTATGTTACTCTCTTCAAATTTTTTTGTCTCCATATCAGGAGTCTCCAACCTGTAGCTCTCCACCCCCTTCCAAGTAGCTCGCCAAGGGATTTTAGAATTCTATGTACTGTGGATAATAAGTAAATTTGATTAATTACCATTTTTATGCCTAACGTGGTGCACTGATAAATGGATTATGTTTTATAAGAGTCTAACTGTTCTCCATCTAAGGCTTATATTTGCTCAGTTTCTTTGTGGCTACTGAAATTCGTAGCTCTCTGGCATTTTATTTCGTAAAGGTAGCTCACTGAAGAAAAAAGGTTGGAGACCCTGATCTATGGAAATGTGACGGCCTTCCACAGTACGGCATCAAACTACAATCCTCTATTCGGTGAAGTAGCAAGGTCAAACCTCCACAGATCTGACCCGGGGATATGTTTAATGGCATACTGTGGAACATTCCAGGCAAATCCATGGTGGAAAACAAAGACATAAGTAATTTAAAGTCATATTTCTATTAATCTATTACTATAATACTGCTATAATACAAATAAATTATTAAACTGGTTGCATTTCTTTTTTATATTTTGTGTTATATTAAGCAAACTTTTCCTCTTCCTCTATAATGTGCATTTTTATTACTACTTGAAACCATAAAAAACAGAAACAAAATATGACATGTACAACGATCAGTCTCGTCACTACTACTACTACTACTACTTTTTTACAGTGCACTCTATTCTTTCCACAATAAGATCCATTCGTACCTTTGCAGTGCGTGACGCGTCTGGTCCCTGAAACAGATAAGGACATAAACACCGGGAGACACAACGTTATTTCAGAGCTCCATCTCTTCTTATCTGTGCGCTCAGTTTGACGGATACAGCGAGAGGCCAGAGCTCACAAATCTCAGTCGATCAATAAGAAGAGAGATGGAGGGTCTTACCGAGAGTTACTGCGGCCTCTTTGGGTTTAGTGCTGCTTGAACAAAACACAGAGGAGAGGAGAGGAAGAAGAAGGAGAAGAAGGAGGAGGAGGAGAGGAAGAAGATGATGATGAGTGACACAAGAGCCAAGTCGTACACTCTAAAAATACATGGCTTTATTTTTATTCAGAAAATGATCTATCTCAGTGGTTCTCTCTATTTTTATTTGTTTTTTTTATAGTTTTTCCTTGCTAAAGCAGATCTGAAAGACACGACAATCTATCTGGTATTGTTTGAAGAGCCCATATTACGCTATTTTCTGATCTGCTGTAATGTTATTTCCACATCACAAACAGATATAGAGTTGTGTTTTGTTTCATTCACGCATGTTTAACTCACAAATCCTGCATGTTTAACTCTTTAGTTAGTTCTTCTCTTTTTCCTTCTCTTTCTAACATGGCTCTAAGCTCACAAGAATCCATTTTGCGTAATAGGACGCTCAGGCTTTGATACAAAATCCAATGACGGCGATCAAAAAGAAACATTTTGAAAATAAAAGAACCAAAAGAAAAGCGCTTTAGAAGTAGTCCATTTATTAATCAATGTCTGTGACTGAAAGGACAAATATATTGAAAGCAAAGAAATACAATAACATGAAAGAGGTAGTGAAGAGTTTCTGTATTAAAAGTCTTATTATTTATCACTTATTATACTTTTCAGGATTTTGTCATTTTATAAATACACCTCTACAGTGTTATTTCACATTTTACACAAAGGGCCCATTTTCTAATCTATGTTATAATGTTGTTTCTTTGTCACAAATATACAAGCTTGTCCCAACCTGATCCCATTAAATCTCAGAAGCTCAGAGGTCAGGCCTGGTTAGGACTTGGCAGAGGTGGGACCAAGTTTTTGTTTTGCAAGTCTCAAGTCCGAGTCAAGTCCCAAGTCAAATACAGGCAAATCCAAGTCGAGTCTCAAGTCACTGGCACATGAGTCCAAGTCAAGTCCAAGTTGTCTGCTTTGAGCTTCAAGTCATTTCAAATCTTTAAACCTAAGTACCAAATATAGCTTAGGTTTTTGAAATTTATGATTTTTAAACTAAACTGTACTTAAAAAAAATCATAGTATATTTATATATGAGTTGTAGAAATTAATGTAGTTAAATTTTCATTTTTACATGTTTTGACAAGATCTTATTGTGAATCATTACAGTCAGAATAGAAAGAATTCAGATTTAAAAGTGCTTCTCAAGTCTTCCCAAGTCACCGACTTCAAGTCCAAGTTGAGCCCCAAGTCTTAGCAACTCAAGTCTGACTTGACTCCAAGTCACAACTTGCAAGTCCCCACCTTGGATGGGAGACCGATGGGAAAATCAGGTGCCACAGGGGGGCGCCAGTTGCAAAAAGTGTTCTTGTGTCCATAGGCAAGCCACTTCACCCATATTGCCTAGTATGAAAGTGGAGTGTGTGAGTGATGGTGGTGGTCGGAGGGGCTGACGGTGCAGATTGGCAGAGTGAATGAATAATGCTCTGTAAAGCGTCTTTAACTGTCCAGAAAAGCGCTTTATAATACGTACATGCATCATTATACCTGGAGTTGTGTTTTGTTTTATTCATGTTTAACACACAAACCCTGCATATTTAGACTGAGTTGTCTGTTCCACTTTGTGATGTCATGTGGTAATACAGGAAGCACTCCATTGTGTTTTAAAACTCTGTACACCCTCACAAGAATCATTTGAATATTTTCAGCCCTGGAATTACCAATCTTTACTGAACAAAAGGTAAAATGCAACTGTTAACTTGAAAACTACCGCTTCATGACATCACAAGGTGGAACCGAGCATTTTGAGCTTTGGAGATGCAGACAGATTAATAATAATAATAAAGACTTACTCAAACATGTGTGAATGAAACAAAACACAATTCCAGGTTTGTTTCTGATGAGGAAATTATTATAATATAGATCAGAAAATAACATCATATGGACCCTTTAATACTAATTACAGAGATACTATAACTATAACTATAAACCAGGTCAACAAATCTAAAATCTAATCAAATCTAAAGGTTTATCTTCTGCCTACACCTGGTCAGTGACTTACTTAGTGTTTGATTTGATTGTTCTACATTCTACATATGTTTTATTTTATGACATCAGATTGAATATAATGTATGTAGACTGTAATGAGTTAAACACTGACCAAATAAACACATGAATGAATGAAATCTGCTTTTGAATTACTTACTTACCTCCTACTACCTCCACCTACATTAATGATTCAATATGGGCTGTTGTGCTGTGTATGTTTTAGTCTGATATGGGAGGATTATGCAGGTTTTAAATTGATTTTCTACAAATACATTTTAAGTTTGAAATCCACAGAGTTCTTCTCACCTGTCCTGGTCCGGTTTCTTGGAGGCAGATGCAGCGGAGGAGGAAGAGGAGGTCCGTGTTTTGGTTTTAGAGGGACTGTCCTTCACGCTGCCTGGAGGACTCTTCACACTACTGCAACACGGTACAAGACAGAGACTCATTACAAAGTGGGACAGTAGTTTCCACAGACTAGTCACACATATTAAAGGTCCTAATTTACGCAAAATGACTCTTTTGAGCTTTAAGTCGTGTTAGAATATTGTTACCTCCTCAAAAACAGACCTGGAGTTATGTTTTGCTTCATTCACACAAGTTTGATTAACCTTTTATTATTCTGTCTACATCTTCAAAGCTCTGCTGTTTTGTGTGTGTCTGTGTTTCTTTCGTGTCAGCACTTTGTTTGTACTTGTACGTGTCTGACTCTGTGTATGTTGAGATACTCCGTTAGTTTAGTTTAGTTCTGTTTTGTGCCTTTTTGTTTTGTCACTCGATTTGGTTTGTCACTTTACTTTGGGACACTTTTTTTGTGTTTTTGTTTTTGTGTGTGTTCCTTAGTTTAATCTCGTTTTTGTAGCCTATGTTAATCTTATTATTTTGTGTCTTACTTTAGGTTATTTTCTGTACATATTTTTGCATGTTTTGTTAATTTACCATTTTACATTCCAGTTAATTAAACGTTACTTATTTTATAGCAATGTTTGTTTTGTTTTTTTACTTCCCTGACCCTAGTGAGCTGGGTCGTAACAGTAGAGTTTTTTGTAAAGGTGCATGTTTAAAAACTCAGTGGAGCTCTTCCTCTTCTACACGGGTCTCCAACCTGTACCTCGGGAGCTACCTGTAGCTCTCCACCCCCTTCCAAGTAGCTCGCCAAGGGATTTCTGAATTATACCATTGTGCTGATAGGTAAAATTTGATTAATTACATGCCTATTACCATTGTACGTGTATCATTTTTACAACTAACTTTGTGCACTAATAAGTGGATAATAGTTTATATTTTATAGGCATTTAACTGTGCTTCCTCTAAGGCTCACCCTGGCTCTTATATTTACTAAATTTCTTGTGGCTGCTAAGACTAGTAGCTCTCGGGCATTCTTTTTTTCTGTGTGTGAAAGCAGCTCACCAGAGGAAAAAAGCTGGAGACCCCTGCTCTATTATCACATGACATTACGAGTTGGAAAGGAGTGTTTTCTGTTTGAGCAAAGAACTCAGCCTAAATATTCAGGGTTTGTGTGTGAAACGTGTGTGAATGAAGCAAAACTCAACTCCAGGTCTGTTTGTGATGAGGAAACAACATAGATCATAGATAGATGCTATTTTCTGATTATAACACAGATCAGAAAATAACATCACATGGGCCCTTATCGCAATCAACGTGCTGTAATCAGAAAGTTACATAGTGAACGTTTCAGGCATGAACTTTTCAGTTCCATTACCAATATCAATACTATGACTTTAAGTATGTGTCGATATCTGATATTGAGCAGTACCTCTCAAAACACAGTGAACTACTCGTACTAAACTAAATATAACCAATCGTGTTATGTATTGAGCAGCTTTGTGTGAATTAAAGCTCAAACATTATGAGACATCCTGGGCCAATATTTGAGACAGAGGGAGCTGGAGGGAGTATGGGCATTGGTGCATCCGTAGCACCTTTAAAGTTAGAGTTATTAAGTTGTTTAAGGCTCTAAAAGTGATTGGTTCGTCGTATTATTTGATGTGTGTGCTGAGAGTAAAACTCGAGGAGTGCGTGTGAGCAGAACGAGCAGAGCGATGGGCCATTAGTTAAATACAGAAGTCCATTCACTTGGACTCATATTAAAGTGACAGGATTATAGAGAGCGAAGAGAGAGAGAGAGAGGAAGAACACTCGTCTGCTGCACCGCACTCGCTTAAAGGGACAAGAGAGAGGGAGGGCTAGGGGAGGGAGGGAGGGAGAGTTAGTGAGGGTGAGAGATAGGGGGAGAAATAGAAAGTGAGGAAGGATGTATTGTTTTAAAGGACTGCACTTTAAATGTAAAGGAGGGGTGGTGGAGAAAGAGAGAAAGCACAAGAGACAGACAGACAGAGAGTGTGAGAGAGAGAGACAGAGACAGAGAGAGAAAGAGAGACACGCAGAGAGAGAGACAGAGAAAGAAATAGAACTAGAGAGAGAGACAGAGGCAGAGAGAGAAGCAGACAGAGAGACAGAGACAGAGACAGAGAGAGACAGAGAGAGAGAGACAGAGAGAGAGAGAGAGACAGAGAGAGAACAGAGAGAGAGAGAGAGAGACACAGAGAGAGGAACAGAGAGGGAGAGAGAGAGAGAGAGACAGAGCAGAGAGAGAGACAGAGAGAGACACAGAGAGAGAGAGACAGAGAGAGAGAGGCAGAGAGAGAGAGAGAGAGACACAGAGAGAGAGAGACAGAGAGAGACAGAGACAGAGAGACAGACACAGAGGGACAGAGAGAGAGCGGCAGAGAGAGGGACACAGAGAGTGAGAGAGAGAGAGAGAGAGAACGAGAGAGACAGAGAGAGAGAAAGAGACAGAGAGAGAGACAGAAAGAACTGCACTGATAGGGCAAAGCAGAGAGAGAGAGATGAGGAGATAAAGGGGAGAAAGAGAGAGAGAGAAGGGGGGAAGAGAGACTGCACTGTTTTAAATGGAGGAGAGAGCAGGGACAGAGAGCGAGAGATGAAGAGAGGGGTTGAGAAAGAAAGATAGAGGAAAGAGGGGGAAATGCACTGCTTTAAATGGAGAGATTGAGAAAAAGAGAGGGAGACAGCAGCAGAGAGAAAGAGAGAAGAGAGAACAGAGAGGGTGGGAGAGGGGGAGGGAACAAATGTGAGAAATAGAGAGGGGGAAGGACTGTAAAAGAGGGGGAGAGAGAGGAGAGAAAACCAGGTATAGAAAGAGACAAAGAGGGTTTAGCAGAGAGAAATAGAAAGGGAATGGAGCGAGGGGTTAGGAAATAGAGAGAAGAGAATCAGAGAGAGCTATAGAGAGAAAAAGAGAGAATAATTACAAAACATCTGTGGAGGAGGGGATTTTTTTTATTTCCCATCAGTTTTAATATCAACACAATGAGATTCAAAGCCATCCAGAACGGCAGAGGCCGTAAGAGGATTATCTGATGGTCCTTCCTGGTCTAAAAATACTATTATTACAGTAATTAAAATGGGACTCATACACAGTGTACTGCACACCTACTACACTGGTTGGTTGGCTCAGTCACATATTATAATTTTTTTTTTTTTTTTTTTTATTTATTTTATTATTATTTTTCAGATTTTTATTAATTTTGTTTTTTATTTGTATTTGTTTTTATTAATTTTTTCAGGTTTTTATTTATTTTGTTTTTATTTGTATTTGTTTTATTTATTTTTCCAGGTTTTTATTTATTTTGTTTGTTTTTTTTATATACTTTTTTATTTGTGTATTTTTTTTATTTGTATTTGCTTTATTATTTTTCAGGTTTTTATTTATTTAGTTTTTTTTATACTTTTTTTTAAAAAATTCGTGTAGTTTTTTATTTGTATTTGTTTTATTATTTTTCAGGTTTTTATTCTTTTTTTTTATTAATGTATTTTTTATATTTCAAGTTATTAATATTATAATTTTATTTTTATTATTATTATTATTATTAATTTTATTTTTTTAAGAAGGAGCAAAGTGGCATTTTCAAGTCTGACCTGGAAGACGGCGTGGGGCTGTAGGTCCTCGCTGCGCCGCTAGAGGGCACCGTGCAGCTCTTCTTGAGGGCGGCGGGTCTGGAGGGAAGCGCCAGAGACACGGGCCTGGCTGAGGAGAGAGACACGTACGGGACACGTGAGACACGAGATGTTTTATTTAAACGTGTTTATTAAAAATACTGAAGAAAATATGTAGGCTAATTATGAAACAACAATGATTGCCTTAAATTTTTGGTGAAACTCCTAAGATTAAACCAATGATCGTACTTCACTTTTGTAACTTTGTGTAAGCGACCTATATTTACGTCATGTTTTTGGTTAAATTTACTTTTAACCAAACCTTTTCACCGTCTTAAAAACATTGGATCTCTGGAGCTTGGATATCTGGATATCAAAAAGCTTGACTAAGGTATAATAGTGGATAAAGCTTAAAATGCCCAGTCCATGGGTTTAGAATGATGAGAAATGTGGGAAATTGCCATAGCGATTAACAATTTAAAACAAACCATTATATATTGTAAATGGAGATTCCTCAACATATTCCAGGAAACTGAAAACCTGAATATTCAAGTTTTTTGGTTAAAATTGGGGAGCGGATGGATTATTGTACTCTGTTACACCCCAATAACTAACAAATAATTTATGTCCTCATGTAACAAGATCAAAACAGAGCTGAAATCAAAGTTAAAGGTGCACTGTGTAACTTTTATGCATGGTGGAGGGTCTGTCAAATGCTTTTCTTCATAGAGATGTTATTGCTTTGTCTGGAATGTTTCACAGTATGGCATTTAACCTTTCTATCTTCATCGAGACGAAATCAGATTAAGTTAGAGGTCAGAACTGTGGAGAGGCGACTCCGTTCAGAGTCAGAATGAACAGCTGTAATTGAAAAATGTAAGGTAGAGCTGTTTAATGTCATGCTGTGGAACGTTCCAAGCAGAGCAAAGACACATCCATGCAAACAAGCAGGTGATGGACCCCCAGCCAAAAAGTTACATAGTTCACCTTTAATTAAACACTGAAAATCTTAAACTTGTCCTCACCTGCTTTGCCTCCAGCCCTCCTCCCCGCTGCAGTAGAGGCCTGGTGCTCCTCATTCAGGTTCAGTCTCTTCAGAACATCGGCCAGAGCCATCTTCAGCAGCTGGATCTCGTCCTCCTGCATCTGCATCCTCTGCTCCAGATACGTGAGTCTGTCTGCCACGTCCAGACCAGAGGCTGCAGAGCTGCGGTCATCTGCAAACAGAAGAACACAGGGTCAAAGGTTTGAATCTGATGTCCAAGGAAATCTATGGACTTAATCATTTAACAATAATAATAAAATGATAATAATGCGCTGGATTTATATAGCATCTTTTGAGACACCCAGAATCTGTTGTTGTAGCCACAGCTGCCGTAAAACTGATAGAAGTAAGTTTGTCAATCTGTGCCATCTCCAACATGCACGTAGCCTGATTCATCAGCCGGTTTCACTTTGTGGAAAGCGTCTGACCTCGCAGCATTAGGATTCATTTGCTCGACGGTACTTATTTTATTTAACCAATCGTTGCGGTTTGGTTGTGATGTATGTAATGCACCGCTAATGGAGCTAACTGGTATATTAAGCTTTTTCCAAATCCCGTAGGAAGAAGGGTAATAACGTCTTTTCCCGTGATAAAATTCACCAAAATTTCTCTTTGTTCCGGCTTTAAATCCTGGATCTCAGGAATCATTGCCAACACAGAATTTATGGTTCTTTGCTGATTGGCTGATGCCCAGACTCGCACTTCCGGGGTTCTTGCAAACTAGTGTAGTGACTAGTGTATTCTGATTCCTGACCTAGTCGCTGGAGAGAAATGAAATTGAGTAGAGATACTAGGTGGCGCCAGCCTGGCTAACACTCATGCACCACATTAAAAGAAAATAAAATCTGTCCTATGACCTTGTGGTTGGGGTCCATTGCTCTAACCACTAAGCCACTGTTGCCCCAAAATGACACAAAGAAAGAAAAACCTCACCAGCAGCAGGACTTTTTTTACACTTTCAATCAGGAGTCATGTTAGAATGCTAAGTACCAAACCAAAATATATTTTGCATAAAGTTTGTCTGCAAAGCTATATATATATATATATATATATATATATATATATATATATATATATATATATATACCCCGTCCCCAGACACTTCCTCAGCTCTTATGGAGGATCCCGAGGCAGTCCCAGGCCCAGAGTCACAGTCCCTCGAGCATCTTTGGTCTTAATCAGGGTGTTCTCCTGGTGGAACAGGCTCAGAACACGTTCCCAGGCAGGTGTCCATGTTAAATTGTCTTCTATTATTATTTTTTGGTTAAAATATAGACCATATTTGGCCCTCGAGCCCTACTTACTTCTACACCCTGCTTTAGATTATAATACACACTCTCCTCAAGCTGACATGGCTGGAAATCCACACCACATTTAGACACTGGCAAGGTGGCTGAAGTGTCTTTTTTTAGATGCCACTGTAATTGCAAATGTTCACATTTTTATATAGTGCTTTTCCACCTTCGAGGCACTCAAACTCACACTCACATTCACACACCAGTGCACGCAGAGACTGGGCTCAACGTGGGTTAAGTGTCTCGCCCAAGGACACAACATCAGCATTCATCTGTGGGAAATGTCAAGAGCGGGATTTGAACTAACAACCTTCACATCAATGGACAAAGACTCTAACAGAGCTACTGTCTAATTTATGTTCTCTGTGATAAAAAATATTGCTCACTGGCTGGAAATCTTATAAAACCAAAATTTTTTTACAATATTGATATCTTTTGCGGAAATGGAAGGTAAACTTACACACAAAAATGCTAAAGGTGCATTTTTATATAAGCAGTTTTCAGCTGTATTTCATTTGCTTCCCCGTAATATTCTTATTATGTATTAACTTGACCTTTACCCCATTGTGTCGCTCTCACTGTTAATCATGAAACAATCGTCTGGAAGCTATTTAAATAAAATTACTGTGTGAAAAAAACATACAAAATCACACCACAAAATGCCAACGCAACCTTTAGCGAAATACAGTTTCTATTGTCTTGTCAAAACAACACAATCAAACGTCTTTAACATTTAAAAGCAGCGCCGCCTCAGACGATAATGGGGTCACTGCACAGCTGGGCCCTGATCTCTTCTATTGTTACCACAGACAGGGGCAAGTAAACAGAGGTACCCCTAAACCCACCGAAACAAGAACAAAGCAGATTTGAAACGCATTTTCGGAACATGTTTAGAAGTCGTGGTAGTGGTATGAACTACATAAACCATGATCCTTTGCTTTGTTTTGCAGCAACAGTTACAAAACATCTTTAAAAGTCCCATATTACGCAAACTCAACTCTTGTGAGCTGTAAGTCATGTTAGAATGTTGATACCTCATCAAAAACAAAGCTGGAGTTGAGTTTTGTTTCATTCACACATGTTTGAGTAACCGTCTGTTCCACCTTGTGATGTCATGTGTAGTGGTAATTTTCCTTTTACCTTAGTTAGACAGTCCAGAATTTTGGACATAGAGCCTCATTTCCTTGTGAGTCAGAGTGTTGGAGACAGTGTGGAGACACTTTTTTAAATATTCCATCCAGTCCTTGTATTTGCAGAGGTCACTGGTGCTAGGCCAGTGCATTTCAATGGCCATAGTTATCCTGCCACTAAAAACAGTCTTACGCACTCCACAAAACACCCGAAGCAAATCTATTAAAACGTCAGACTGTCAATGTGAATGTTTGTGTCGACAGAATAATGTTTGAAATAAAACTAACCTTGCATCGCATGAATCGTTGCACGTTGCGTGACTATTTTCTCATATATCAGTCCGCCGCTGCCAAGCTTTCTATCAGGAAGTACAACTCGCTGCTGCTGCTCAGACATAAATCCTTCAAATGCAAGGTTGGTTTTGCTTCTAAGATTATTCTATCGACACAGACATTTACAGCGACAGTCTGGTGAAAAAATACCTTTGCTTCGCGTGTTTTGTGGGGTGAGTAAGGTTTTTAAGTGGTAGGATAACTATGGCCATTGACATGCACTAGCCTAGCACCAGCGACCTCTGCAAATACAAGGACTGGATGGAATATTTAAAAAAAGTGTCTCCACACGTCTCCAACACTCTGGCTCAATAGGAAATGAGGTCCTATGTCCAAAATTCAGAACTGTCCCTTTAAGTAGAGATTGACAATTCAGTTTAAAAACACAGTGGAGCACTTCCTGTATTATGTAACTTCTCTGGTGGAGGGCTGTTTTCCTGGAATGTTCCGCAGTCTGACATCTTGCACGGTTACAAATGTATCTCCTCTTTACGCAGAGCTGGCCTGTAACTTCTGGTTGCATCTCCTACTTGTTTCCATGGAGATCGGTAAATTAAATGCCATACTGCGGAAAATTACGGGCAAAACAATAGCATCTCCATGGAAACCAGAGTGTGGCGGACCCTGAATCAGAAAAGTTATGTAGAGCAAAACAGATGAATATTCTAAAATGTGAATACAAGAACAGATTTAAATAATCTCTAATCATCCTGCAATGGAGAAAGTGCAGTGTTGTAGCAGAAAAGTACAAGTACAAGTCAAAATATCCAAAATATAAGATTAATAGTACTGAAATCGGCCTATTAGAAGTCAGTTAACCCTTTGTACACAATATATTTAAATCTGTGTACCCTGTGGAGCAGTGAGCAGTGAGTATGGGTCGGTCTGCCTGGGTTGGGGTCCCTCCTCTCCCGCCATCGCCGTGGTCTTCCTCCTCTTCCTCTCCTCCCTCGAGCACAATCTTTCGTTCTTTCTGCCCCCTTTAGCGCCCCCTATCTCCGTCTGACGTCTCTCCATCAGATCCGCAAGCTTCTCATGCCTTCCTCTACTCCTCCAGGCTGGGACAGCTCTTCCAAAAAGGCTGTTATGAGATGTTCTGATGCTCTAATAGTGATTGTGGTGGGGAATTGTTTTGTAAAGATTGGAAGGGGGCGGGGTTTATAAGGATTTAATCTGCACTTCAGTCTAAATATCGTGTGTGTGTGTGTGTGTGTGTGTGTGTGTGTGTGCGCGCGCACAAATACAACTATAATCCCACTGACTGAGCCTCTTAAGCCCCGCCCACAAACATAAGCCCAGTGAACCACATGTGTTGGAGATGGAACAGGGAAGAGCAGAGTCAAACCTGTCAAGTGATTTAAAGATGCACTATGTAACATTTTGGTTGGGTCACCTGTTTGTTTCTATAGATATGTCATTGCTCATTGTTCCACAGTATGACTTTAAACAGCTCTACGTTACATTTATTCAATTACAGGTGGTTTTATAGCTCAAAAATACCTAGAAAAACAGGCCTTCTGACTGTAAGCGGGGTCGCCTCTCCATAGATCTGGGGCCTCAGTTATAAAGCATTGTGTAGGAGTTGTTTTAAGATAATGCGCACTCCTAGTGGCCACTAGAGGCATGCGCCAAGCAAACTCCAAATTTAGAAAACCCTCCGTGCGCACTCCACCAAGCAATCTATGTTTTATAGATCCCACCTGCAGTGAGCCCCTTTTATGGTGAAGTGGAGGTGTGAAGTTGCATTTGTCCCAGAGCTTCATTAAACCAAAGCCTGGCTCCTGTGCTCCGTCTGTGGGAAGAGTTTTCTCTCAGGTCCGGTCATTATTTCGTCCTCTGTGTTGGAACCTATAGAAGTCTATGGTCACGGTGCAGACTGCCGGAGACCCTGCGCTGCATCAGGCACCTCGTGCACGAGGTTCAAATGTATAATATTGTAGAGAATAAGTGGAGTGGAATAAACAGCCTTTCTCCATGTTTTGGGTAACCTCTGCTTAAATGCACAAATCTGAATGTAATTATTTTATACACATGGATATTCTAATGATTTCTGATAAAACACTTCCTCAAATTCGCTTCACTTCTGCTCCTCTCTACGAGTGTGGCTTTTTCCCCGTGTCTCCAGACTGCGCAGAGCTTTACAGCAGGGTCCGAGCTGCCGTAGAGATAAGCAAAGCGCTGCGTTTAGAACGAGTTTTATAAATCCTGAGATTTGCATCAAGCACGCCTCTGCAATGATTTGTCCTTAAGTGAGCTTTATAAATGAGGCCCCAGACCTGTAACTTGGTCTGATTTGGTCTCCTTGAAGATAGAAAGGTTTAATGCCATACTCTGAAACATTCTAGACAAATATAACATCTCTATGGAGAAAAGCATTTGACAGACCCTCTACCAGAAATTTACACAATGCACCTTTAAACCTACAGTCTCTAACTATTTCTAATCATCTTCCACAACATGGCATAAAACTATCACCATGGAGAATGTTCAGAAGGATGGTTTTAACCTTCCATTTTCATGGAATCGTGCAGGTGACTTTTCTGACTCTCCTTCGATATGTTATTGCTTTGCTTGAAATGTTCCACAGTATGACATTAAACTTATAGCTTGCATTTATTCAGTTTCAGTTGGTTTTAAGATTCTTATGGTGTGCAGAATCAACACTTCACAGATCTGGCCTGTAACCTGGCCTTTTCCACTCCCGGTTTATTTCAACATCTTTTCCAGTTACCGTGCCACCCCCTAGGCACCCGTGGTACGTAACAGATTGGGGGCTCGTCCGTCTCTGGTGGTAAGATGGAATGAAATTTGGGACTGTGTGTGAGCGCTCCGGTTGGGTGATGTTATGGATGCATTTGATTTTGAATAGCCTGCAGTTTAACTTTTACGCACGAATCCCAGATTAGACTAGGGGCCATGCAAGAGGCCAATTCCCAATGCAAGAGGCCATTGGGAAGAGGAAGACCAAAGAGAAGATTCTCAGCAAACAACAGGAGCTCCAGAAGGCACACAAGGAGAAGCAGGCTCTGCAGACAAAGGTTACTGCCTTGGAGTCTGCCCTCGTTGAGCAGACACGGTCATCTGAAAAGGCCCTGAATGTACAAGTTTGCCATCTTGAGTCTACCCTTGGAGCAGAGAGACACTCTGCTAAAGAGGCTCTCAACAAACAGCGTCTCGCCCTGGAGTCTACATTTACAGCAGAGATGCGGGCAGCTGAGGAGACCTGGAACAAACAGGTCCTCACTCTAGAGTCTGCTCTCGCTGAGCAGGAGCAGACAGCTGAAGAGGCCCTCAACAAGGCACAGGAGAGGGAGGAGAGCCTGAACACTGAGCGCCACAAAGTTCAAAAATTACAAAATGACTTGGACTCACAGAAAATGAGTTTTATAGCTGTGGTAGAAGAATGTCACTCCATCCACAAGGCCACGGTGGAGGAGAACATCCTCCACCAGGAAACACGGCTTTGAAACACAGTGAGGACGAGAAAACCTCTGCCCTCCTCAAATGTGAAGAGCTGCAACTGTCCCGGAACAAGTTAGATGATCAGCTGCAGCAGATCACAGTCATAGTGGAGGAGCTCCAAGACAAGAAAAACAAGAAGAAGAAGAAGGAGGAGGTGGTTTAAGTGGTGGCAGTAAGTCACCCCCAGTCTGACCCCAGCCTCATCATTACCTGTGTCTGCATATTGACTTGTTTTCACTGCAGATACTGTAAGTGGCAGAAATGAGTTAAGGCACGACACGCAGGTCCTGAATTGTAAATAAAGAAGCAAATTAGCAATTTCAAATGATTCTGAATGTTTGTTTGTTTGTTTGTTTTTTTCAATAGATTGTTTAGAATCCAGAGCAACAGATGGCAAATAAACTCTGCCAATATTTTTGTGACACTTTTTATTATTTTCCCTCAACTTTTCTAATTTAAATTTACTACAAACTCACCTATAGCCCTTCTCATTACTGTTTATTTTGTACGATCATAAATGATAAACTTTGTGCCTATGTTAACATTATTATTAGTTAGTACGACCATAAACGAAAATATGTTTCTGCATATGTGAATTTTTTCTATACGTTTACTACTTTCTACATTTTATATTCACACAGAAGACATCAAATATATGAAGCAAGATATATGGAATTATATAGCAAAGAAAAAAAAGTTGAATAACTAACATTTTTCAACAAAGCAAAAGGTGACTAGTCCTAGGATTTGGTTATAAAACATAAAAAATATCCATATTTCACAGAATAACTTAAAGTTTTTTTCTTAGCTATATAATTCCATATATCTTGCTTTATACATCTGATGTCTTCTGTGTGTATATAAAATGTAGAAAGTATAGGAAAAAAAAGTTACACAATATACCTTTAACAGTGTTTACAGCATCTCCATGTAACTCAGCACACTCAGGGAACATTTGCTCATTAGCACAAAGGATCCTTTATAAGTGACAATTATAAGGAAGTATTTTCCTCGTTGTAGGAGTCTTGTAAACAACATGGTGGTTTCCTGTCTTTGGCGCAGGAGATGTTATCTCACTGCAACAAAGTACTGATGCTAGTTCTAAACGGCTGAGGTCAATAGGACCTTCTATGAAAAAGTAGATTCTTTAAGTAAAGTCAACTATTCAGTATCAAGTTGATTATTAAAGGGCCATATTACACTATGTTCTGATCTATGTTATACAGAGATGTAACAATATCCAACTCTCTCAGTACGATATTATCACGATATGCATCTCACAGTATGATATTTATTGTGATATTTTGAAGAGGCTAACGTAATTGTAGATAGGACACTTTTTTACTTTTAAAATAGTCTGACAAGATTTTGATGTGAATTATTTCTGTCATAATACCAAGAATTAAAGTAAAAAAAACATATTTCTTCATGTTGTCTGCACTGAAATGAATCATGGGATATGTAGGTCCCTATGTTTATAACCTGTTACTACGATAAAACATTTAAGCAAAGGAACTTGTAATTCGATATATTGTGAGGGCCCACGATATTATTGTGAGACTCTTGACGATACAATATCATGATATTTTGGTTATTGTTACATCCCTAATATTATAATGTTGTTTTCTCATCACAAACAGACCTGGAGATGTGTTTTGTTTAACACACAAACCATGCATATTTAGGTTGAGTTCTTCTCTCAGTCAGAAAACACTCCACCTTGTGATGTCATGTGGTAATACAGGAAGTGCTCCACCTTCACTAGAATCATTTGGATAATTTCAATTTTGGAACTGTCAGTCTCTACCAAACTAAAGGTAAAAGGTAACAGTTAACATGAAAACTGCTGATCCATGACATCACAAGGTGGAACAGAGCATTTTGAGCTTTGGAGATGCAGACAGACTAATAATAAACAGTTACTCAGACATGTGTTTAAGCACTTTATGTTGCATTTTTTTAATATGAAAAGTGCACTATAAATAAACAGTTTGATTGATTGATTGATGTGTGAATGAAACAGGTTCAGTTTGTGGAGAGGCAACCAAGCCTCACTGAAAAGTGCATTCTGTGAAAACCCAAAACACCTGTAATTGAATAAATGCAAGATTGATACTTATGAGACAATGTAACAATATCATAGAGATAAACTAGGGACTGACTCCTCCAGCAGAAAAGTTACACAATGCACCTTTAAAGGTCCCATAATGTGCAAGAATTATTCATAGACCATGATTCTTTGCTTTGTTTTGCAGTAACAGTTAGAAATTTCCTATATTGCACAAAATTGACTCTTGTGAGCTTTAAGTCATGTTATAATCCTGTTACCTTGTCAAAAACATACCTGGAGTTTGGCCTGTAACGATAATCAATAAATCGATTAATCGTACGATAACTTTTAACAAGCTCGATAACTTCCAGCCACGATCAATTCTATTTGCATGCTTGTTTGTTTT